AAATATATTTATTCTATATTGTGTGTTTTTGAATGCATAAAGATTTTTGTTGGCTTCTCCAGCACAATGACAAAATTAAAAATAATTTTAAGAAGCGTAGGTCCACTCGGATGTGCGACATGTTCACAGACATTAGAAAGACTAGCGAGCAGCCATTATGGATTAGAGAGACTATATGGACTGAGTTGAACACTACTTGGAGTAGTGCAGAATATAGTAGGAGGAGGGATCAAATTTGATAGAACAGAGCTTCTAATGGTTGGGGCTTAGGTAATTCCCTTCATACTGGCGACTCAGTTCCACATACTGAGCACATGTGATGTTTGATAATGAATTTTAAAAGTATTTTTATAATTTTCTTTAATAGAAATATTAATATAATTCTATTACAGAAAGAGATGCTAGGTAGAGTTCAAACTCATGTGGAATTTCATAGTCACACTCATAAGCGACATGAGGATCAACAATCAGTTGATGAGCAAGAAAAGCCCATATAAGTATATGTATTTAATAATTTTTATTTTTTGTCTCAACTCATTGTATATACGGCTTCGAGAGAGTAAGTCCGCAGCATGTGAGGGTTCTTCTGGCGGCTCTGTGGAGTATTCTGAGTACTGCATCTGGTTGCAAGTTGTAGGAGGAATGTAACATGACAGAGTTTATGGTTTAGGTTCGCAAACCCAGGCATACGAGGGGATGAACTCTACTGGATTCAGTTTCACAGCCAGTTCACATGAGTCCTTATATAGTCAACAGATAACTGCCCTTCAAGCGGAGCTAGAACAAATAAGGAAATCATAAGCTGATTGGTAAGTTCAGTTGCAAGCATAAATTCAGATGCAAATGCAGGAGCAACACAATCAGTTGTTTGATGAAATGTGCAAAATGAGGGAGCAATTGAGTGGAAAAGAGATAGCTCCAACTGAGGATGAGTTCATGAATTCAGAGTAGTTGCTTAGTTTTTTCAATGTTAAATAAACTTGTATAAGTTTTTGAATATTTGAATATTTGATGTTAATGAACAATTTGTGATATTTTTGAATATTAGTTGATGTTAATGAACAAGTTGTAATGTTTACATTTATATTTTTAAGTATTTGTTGAAGTTCTTGAAATCTGTGTTGTGGAATAATTATCTGTATATATTTGCTAGTGTGAAAATCTGATTGATGTCTAAGAAGTCAATTTTTTTTGTTTATGCTATAGGTTTTCAGTGGAAAATATGTCGGTATGGCGCTGAAAATGATGATATAACGAATTATTTGATTCATTCCAGTGTCTTATATATGTCGGAAATACCGGCGGATAATGTGTTTAATAATTTTTATTTTGTCTCAATTATATACGTCGGAAATATCGGCGGATAAGGAGTATATACGGCTTTGAGAGAGTCAGTCCGCAGCATGTGAGGGTTCTTCTGGCGACTCTATGGAGTATTATGAGTACTGCATCTGGTCGCAAGCCGTAGGAGGAATGTAGTATGACAGAGTTTATGATTTAGGTTCGCAAATCTAGGCATACGAGGGGATGAACTCTACTGTATTCAGCTTCGCAGCCAATTCACATGAGTCCTTATATAGTCAACAGATAATGGCCCTTCAAGCGGAGCTAGAACAAGTAAGAAAATCATAAGCTGATTGATAAGTTCAATTACAAGCACATATTCAGATGCAAATGCAGGAGCAACACAATCAGTTGTTGGATGAAATATGCAAAATGTGGGAGCAGTTGAGTGGAAAAGAGGTAGCTCCAACTGAGGATGAGTCCATGGATTCAGAGTAGTTGTTTAGTTTTTTCAATGTTAAATAAACTTGTATAAGTTTTTGAATATTTGACGTTAATGAACAATTTGTGATATTTTTGAATATTTGTTGATGTTAATGAACAATTTGTAATGTTTACATTTATATTTTTAAGTAGTTGTTGAAGTTCTTGAAATATGTGTTGTGGAATAATTATATGTATATATTTACAAGTGTGAAAATCTGATTGTTGCCTGAGAAGACAATTTTTTTTGTTTATGCTATAGGTTTTTGGTGGAAAATATGTCGGTATGACACCGAAAATGATGATATAACGAATTATTTGATTCATTCCAGTGTCTTATATACGTTGGAAATACCGGCAGATAATGCGACGGTTATAATTCGTTGCTTTCATTCCGGCGTACGTTGCGACGTTTCTTCCACCGATATTTTTGGAGTAGCTGAAAATTTTGGCGTATTTAACACCGGAATAATCTAACGAAAAGTGACATAATTGGCACACACTTTTTTGCTGATAATGTGCCGGAGAGTACGCCGGAACATTTTATGGCGTATTATTTACGTTGGAAACATTTTTCCGATGCGTGCCAAACCAGGGCATGAAATTCCGTCGGAAATTCGACGAAAACATTATCTTTCCATCGTATTTTCCATGTTACCGCGGATTACGTCCGCTGGTAATGACGAGTTTTCCTGTAGTGTGAATATGATACTGATATATTTATATTATGCCATTTTATTAATAAGAAAAGTTGGGAGTTGCAAAATTTATTAAATAAATTCATAATTACCAAGATAGTATCATGAGGGTTGGTGGTGAAGTGCGAAGTTCCAGTTAATGAAATTTTCACTCAATCAAATGTGATGCAAAATCAAAATAGACTGCACAAAATGTTTAATAGATACAATAGTAATGTATACACATTTATGTAGGAAATAACATAATATGTAATAAGTTATGAAGTTAGTAAACTAAGTTAAGCACATTATTAGCTATATGAAATTTAACAACACATTTTCACTAACACAATGTTAGTATGATCAATCCTTTAAGTTCAATACGCAACAATATTAATTGAAAATGTTTTTATTAGTGAGAGAGGAATATGCACAATTATATGAGTTGGTTGCACTACATAAGCTCAATTTTTTTCAAAACAATAGAATATAATAGCTAAGATAGTCCCATGATAACATGACATAGATCTATCTGTTACGTTGTATATCACCTCACATGAAGTTTTGTAGATGGAAAATGACACCTCATACATATATATGTAACAAGAGTTCAATACCTTTTATAGTCCAACTAATATAGTACAATTGTTCGCAATTGATTGTTTTGTACTTTTTAGGTACTATGTATCGGCTACATTATTAGATACCATGTTTTTTATGCAAGCATTGTCTATTAATAGCTTGTGCATCTTCTAATTGATTGTTGTATGGGTATGAAGACGAAGAGTCTCTGTGAAGGCCCTAATTTCTTAAGGGCCAATAATACTTGTTATATAATATAAAATAAGAACTCTCCCTTATATCCTTGAAAATCTTTAGAATTCTTATTTGAAATTGGTGGTAACTAGAGTGGCATAACCTTTGGCTCCCCATCCAATAATTGCAATTGACACTTATTAGGACATTTGTTAAACTTGCATCCTAGCCCAATTGAAGGCATAAGAAAAAATTGGAATATCACAATTTATTGTAGACATTTTCTTATTGGAAGTCCATTTTAGGTTGAACTTTTTTGTTCTTATAGTCCTATGCATTGGACCTAAGGGGCCTCTCTTTGTTTGGTCATGTTATCTTGTTAACATTATCATTTTGTTCCTGAAAGAAGTCTTGAAATTGCGAACTTTAGGTTGATGAGGCTAATTTATGAAGTTTGTACATCTTATGTGTGATGAAGCCCTGAAATTTTATTGATAGTGTTTTTGATTTTCAATCGAAAGAAGCATGAGTTCCATGAAATATATCTCAATTTTGGGTGAGGGTTGTTGCCAATTGGTTGTTTTTCATAGTTCACTATAATCCATGATACTAATTTGGCACAATTGAATGAATATATATATATGAAAATAAAATACTCACTAGTTGCTACTATAACAACTTAACAAACTATTTAAGGTATAAAACTTTAGAAAGGTAAGATAGAGTGAATATGGACCACTCAAAGTTAGAGCTTGAGCTGCATGAGAATGAAGAAGAAATTGTATAACTTGTTGCCAAAGAAAAAATCCAATCCTAATAAAAGTTATTTTAAAGAACCTATGTGATACTTCACCTTATTTTATATTCGAGGAGCTAAATATAAAAAAGTTTTAGTAGTGATCTCAATATAAAATATAAGAGCAAAATATGTGCATGCCATTGAATTCTTTTGTATTTACATGTATAATATCTAAAATTTTCTTTATGTTTTGCAAGTATTTAAAAATTAGATATTTGTAAAGTGTTATAAAGTAAATTTATCCAAAATTAAAAAATTACCTTATTGTGTCTTGATGAAACTAACCATATCTAATATAAGACAACTAGCTTATGACATACTATTAGACGCAAGTGATGGAGGTGACTGTGGTGCTGGAGAGCGATGATTGATGGAGGTTCTCACAATGAAGGCAACATGGCTTCAAGGGAGGGGAGAGGTTTTAGCTTCATAAGAGTGTGGTATTTAGAGATCACATGATATGGGATCAAGACAATGTGGAACTAAAAAAGGGCATGCGGTATAGTATGCTGCAAGGCGCAAGATTCAGGATTGAGGTTAGCGACGAGGTTCATGCAACGTTGGAGTGAGGTCAACATCATCGAAGATGAGGATGACATGATGCAGGGGAGGTCACTAGAATGACATATTACATGCAAAATAGTCTGATGAGTATTCAGGTGTCCTAAAAAATTTACTTTGCTTTGATTAATAAAAAAATAGAAAAAACCATTCATTTTACCCAACACTAAAAAAACTTAAATATACCCAATTGAAGTTCTCAAAATTTATGCATGAAAATATTTTTTATTTAAATAAATGAATGTTAATAGCTTTTACATTTTATTAACAAAATTAATATAATATTTTAATAAATATTAAAATTAATTATTAGAAACACCCCCTACCCAAAAAATAAAAAAAATCCTTTGCACAAAATTTTTAGGTTGCTCGATTGCTGGGCCCGATGAGCCATGTTCTATAGGAATTGTTGATCACTAAACTGCAGAGTACCAACCTGAATCTGGCTACAGGAACGGATACACATATTCCTCCACCGTCGTAGACCCCTCACTAGATTCAGATAAGGGAGGACTTCATTTCCAGCTGAGGTCGGAGGTCAGAAGGCTGAGAAGAGTGGGAGAAGGAGCGAAGAATTCCGATAATGGGGAGCATTTCTTGCCCCGTTTCTCTATGTTCTCAGCCCAAGTCTCTCAAAGCGAGGTATCGCTCCCGTTCTTCATCGAGGATGCTCGATGTGCGTTGCACCGTCGGAGGTATTCCTCTTCCTTGGATCCACTTCTTTCAATTTGAACATTTCGTGGTCATTATTTGTATGAAATGCTAGAAATGTTTTGTCTGCCCTTTAATTCCCTTAGGGCTTTGGGGAAAGAATGTAGTAGTGGGGATTGCTCGGATTTAACTGATCTGCATTAATATGATATAAAAGCTTGAGATGTTCAGTTGAAGGCCTATTCTACCCCCCTTGTTTTCCCAACATGTATGGTTAAAAGATGCCAATACCGGCTAGTTCTGCATAGAGTTTTTTTGTTTAGTTCTCAATTTCAAGCTTGTGTGAGCTGCATGCGAGGAAATAAAGTTGTTCATGGACCACTATTTATGTTAGAAGGGAAGAAATAAGAATGTTAAAGACATGTAAAACAGTAAAGGAGACATGATGGAATTGTAATAGTAGATAGAGAGTAGTACTTCAAGATAATGTGATGGAAAATAGGTGATTTGAAGCAAATGAGATAGAATAACCACCAAAAGACTTAGACATAACATTATTTTGTGGAATTCAAGCTTCTTTCTTTCTATGTATAGCGTGCAATGGTTTTAAAGTTTAATATTCATGCTTTTATGTAGAGGTTGTGGCAGAATCAAGAGTTTCTAGTGCTACTGAGCCACTTTTGATAAATGCTGTTCGAGGGGAAAAAGTTGATCGACCTCCTGTCTGGCTAATGAGGCAAGCAGGGAGGTACATGAAGGCATGTTCAATGATAATTTTTTTTTTAAGTTTAATGACCTCTTATGTAGATTTCATATATATTTCATCGCCTTATTTTCGATTATAATTGTCTATCAAGTGTAATTATTCTTCAATCTATTATTGATAATTTTAATTTTTAATGGTATATGATCAATCTTTTGCATGTTATAAAGGCTTGTGGAGGATCCATTACAAGGCTATAAAATGCATTTGGAATTGTGAAATACTGAAAGTTTGCTAACTCAGTTGATGCAATATTGTGCTCACAATTGCGTTGAAATAATTTGAACTAGTTGCATAAAAGGAGCTCAAAGTTTACCTCTCATTTTTTGCTCATCGTTGAAAGATTTTCATGGCTGAATGAAATAATAAGATGTGGAGATGGAGAGCACGGAGGAAAAAGGAGTGAGTGGGAGCTTAGCTAAAGGTGAACTTGTGTACTTTGAGAAGGGAAAAAAAGAGAAGGAATGGATAGCGAATGTTTTAATGAAAGAATTTTATTTATTTTATTTTTTACATTATCAGAAGGGGCTAGATGACAACCTTTTTAGGCACGAAAGAATTTTAAGTTTTAAAAAGGAGAATAAGATAGATAAACTCGTGGTCACTACTTTATCATTTTATTTTAAATATTTTGGGGCACATGGCCCGACTTTTTGTTCAAGAAGTTGCTCCTTAGTCATGCACTTAAAAAAGGGGGGCTGCTTGGCCCTTAATTCCTATTTAGGTGCTGCTTGCAGTGGCATCATAATGAAGGTGGGAATGGCATCTGCTACCCCTAATATATATTAATCTCACAATTCACACAACACGGAGGTCAATCTTGATTGTTTTTGACATTTTGGACATATCATGATGGTCTCCATTTGACAAAATTTGTGATGTATGAGCATCCTTTTCACGTAAAATTGATGCTGTTTTCTTCCATTGTCGTTACATTACATTAGGTGATTTGTGGATCACATATGAAGATTAGCATATACATAATACGAGCAAATGATTATTTTTCCTACTAGTAGGATTTTAGCTATGTCGGTTACGAATTCAAACAATGTTTCTACAATTATTTTAATTATTATTTTGACTAGCTCAACATTAATCATTGGGACTTATCGGGGGACTTTTAAAATGTTAATTAGCTCTTAGGCTGGCCCTGAGCCCAATATGGTTAGCACACTTGAGCCTATTCCCATTATAGCTTGCATATTGGAGCTTTAGAGCGTTGGTTTCTTGGATTTATGGGCTAGCCTGACCCAATTGACGTCTGGAATGATAAGATCCTACATGTAGTTTATTTTAATTTATTCCCTTAAATTTGAAATTTATACAATACACGTGAAGCAATTTCTTTCTCTCTCTTTCTTAGGCACTCTTTAGGAATGTTATCATTCAAAACTAATTAATACTTTCCTTTTTAATGCTTTGGCAGAGCTACCAAATGATATGTGAAAGGTACCCTTCATTTCGTGAAAGATCAGAAAATGTAGATCTTGTTGTTGAAATTTCTCTACAGCCATGGAAAGTTTTCAAGCCCGATGGGGTATGATTTTTTTTGACATAATTTTTCTTGCAGATTTATTTTTCCCCTTCTAAATCTTTTTTGCCTTCTATGTTGATAACTGGAATTTCTGCCTTTTTACAACTACTTGGATAATTGCTCAACACAAAATTGTTTGAATTTCATTATTTTATGCAGCTTGACATGTTGAAAATCCTTCAGCATGCAAATTCTTCTGGCTTTCTTCTGAAGTTTAACTGCTTCAATTGTTTAACTGGCTATTATTCTATCATATTGGGGATAAGGTTCTTTCTTGCTATTGCTTCATTTACATATGAAATTATTTTTAAGATGGTGGATGCCCCATGACCAGGCCTGATGAAAAAACTGATTCTCATGTAAACTTTTGATGACGTTTTGCAGTTTAATCTTTTTCAAGTTCAGTCAGAAATTCTTCATGGTGCAAGAGACATGGTATTGTTTTTTCCAACCACCAAACCCACACCACGTGTCTTATGAACACTTAACTAGCTTCAGGATTTGATAAATGTAGTTCATAGACTTCTCGGTCCCTAAGGTCTGAAACATATGAAGTGGCTGGTGTGGTGAGAAAAGAAGTGTTGGTCCCATGCACCATGTATGCTGCATGCTGCCTGCTCTTGTCATGCAGACTCCCCACTCTGGCCGTTGTTTGCATTTGCTGAGCCCTCTCTTCCTTCCTATGGATGAAAAAAATGGTGCTCCCTATTACTAGGCAGGGCGTATCTGACTTTGGGCAGTCAAGATCTTCTTGTATAAATTGGCCTAGATCTTCAAGGCCAGTGACCTGTTATCCATGAATCTTTAATATGCGCACTTCTACTAGGAGAGATGTAAATGAGTTCTTTTTGGGGAGAAAATCATTTGAACTTGCCACAACCTAGAGGATGAATTGGCTGTATTTCACAGATTGAAACTGTAAACTGGCACTAATATTCCTAGATTGTGAAATATATGTAGAAACTAATTCAATGGAAATGTTAAATTTTACCCTTAGAATAGAGGGAGATTGCATAGAGGTTACAGACAATGTGAAGTGCTTTAGGTATTTGGTTATGAATTTGAATTTGTGATTTGGCTCTTCAAGATTATATCTATTCCCCAAGCTTCTAGTTATGATTTCTCTACTATGCAAGCTTTGAAATTTGAGTCAAGCTGAAACCATTTACAACCCTTTGCTTTGCAGTAGTTTTGGCAGGAAGCCACCTTACCTCCTTTTTTTTGCCAAGTTCAAGGTGTATAACTCTTGACTCTTTTCCTATGGCAAAGACACAATCCTGTATAACTCTTTTACCCTTGACTGAAAAAGGAAAACGGTAAGACCCAAAAAATTTCAGGTATGTGAAATTTTGAATTAAGTAAATATATTGTAAAGTCTATTCTAAAGCTTAATGAAAAAAATAAAGAAATAAAAATTTCTGTTAAGTTACTTATAACAGTAAATATCATTAGTAAAAGAATTAAGTGAATAATAGTATTTGCTTTTAAGTAAATAATTTACTTAACAATATATACTAGATAATACAGGAAATTAATTTAAGTAATTTCTTAATTCTGATGAGAATTTTGAAGAGATGTCGGCCATAGGCACTGAAGCATAACGTGGTAGTTATGTGAGTGGGCCCGTTTATTTTCAAGAAAATAAATATTGAGTGGTGGTGGAAAGAAAGAAAACAATGAATAATTATCCAAAATGGAAGCATCTGTTTGTTAAGCAGTTGTAAATTTTATGCTGCATTATTTTCTCTTCATTAGTCATGCCTAAACCACATAGTTCTATTTTTTACTATTTATATTTAATAGATGTTACCCCATCATCATTCAAATGTCATTATTTCTCTACTTATCTTTGCTACTATTGCATTTTAATATTTTTTGTGTCATGAACATGTCTATCAATGACTCATGGATTGCCCAATGCTCAAATTTATACAATTTAGTCGGGCTAATGCATTTTCATAAAATTTACCTTAAAATTACCCTTGCACCCTTACCTCAAAGTACTCTTAAGACATTTCTCTATGAGATGAATCAAAGTTTTGATTTTAACAGCGATGTAATATACTGAACTTACATCTTTGATTTTAATATGACTTTCTTTGTTATGAAAAATGAATTGCTAATCCTTTTTCTATTTCTAAGTACTTGTTATGGTATGGACCATTCTGGGGGGTTTCAATGAGCCACTTTGTTTAAGATTCATTCTGCAATTCTGAGGAACTATCAGAAGTAGAATTATAGACATGAATTGTGATGTGAAACCACATGCAAGGAGCTTCTTAAGAAAATTAAAAGTGAATGACAACGTAATTTCAATTAATATCTCATTGAGATAGCAAGAAAATCATTAAAGAAATCGTGTTATTAACTAGCTTAGGCGAAGAAGTATGCGTAGATTGACCAAAACTCATGGATAAACAACGATCGTAGCAACACAAAAGCTATTAAACAACAATCCGTAATTTAATAACGAGAAGTTCACCTTGGGGATTAACCACTCAACTAAACTAGGCTTAGCGGGAGAAGATTTCAGCACACCAAACGATGCCACGAGGAAGGTTGCAATGCCAAGGGTCTTGAGCCACGGAGAGGTTGCCGGTGGTGGAGGAAACACGGACGGCGTGCTTTCAATAGTCCATCCGTAATCTTCGAAGTCACCCCAAGGAGGATGGGGAGAGGATCGGCCAAGGTGGGAAAAGGGGAGGGGCGGCGGGTTATGGGAGGAGGAATTGGGTTTAGATGAGGGGAGAGGGAGAGATCTAACCAAATCTGAAATTAATTCAGATTTTGGATTAAATTAGGAGGGAGGTTACTTAGAATTTGAATTTCAAACCTCATGCGATCAATGCCATAAAGTGGCATTTAATGGGCATTAACCCCAAGCAAGGCCGGCGGCCAATAGAGGGGAGAATAGGGATTAATTCCCAATCCTGAAATTAATTTCAGGATTAAGTAAAATTGGAGGGAAAATTTATTTGAAATCAATTTGAATTTCAAATATGAGGTAGCATTAAAGGAGGCAATCAATGGGAGAGCCCATCCTAGGGCCGGCGGCAAGATGAGGAGGAGGAGATTTGAAAACTTAAAACTGAAATTTGATTTCAGTTTTAAGTAAATTAGGAGGGAAAATAATTTGGAGTTAATTCCTAATTCAAGAGAAATCAATGCCTTAATGGAGCATTAATGGGGTTCCACCCAAGCATGGGGCCGGCGGCTTCTAGAAGGGGGATTTGGTGTGGGTGTAAGTGGGTGGCTTCCAAAATTGCATGCATGATGTTTGCAAGGGGTTAAAACAAAATCCATTTGAAATTGAAATTCGTCATGAGAACGAATTCAAAAACTTTCCTAATTTGGAAATTCTAAAATAGGAAAGATTTTGGCATTCGAAATTCGAACTTCAAAATTTAGCTTCGAATGGAAGAGGAGATTGGGTCAATGGTTGGACGATTCCCGGCCGGATGGTGGTGGTAGGATGGCCGGCGGCTAAGGGGTGGAGTTGAGGTGGGCGGGTTGGAGAGAAAGAGGGGAAATCGGGTATGGGGGATAGACCACGAGCCACGGACTCTTCCAATGACTGGTGGGTGTTGCTTTTGCCCTCACCTTGGGCTCTCCATAGAACTCACACAGAGATCTAGGAGAAAAGAACTCACAAAGAGATCTTCAAGACGGAACTCACAAAGAGAACACCAAAGCCAAATTTTCATTCAAAATATTCATTAGCTATTACAAGAGGAAAGACCCATATATATAGGTCTCAAGCATACATGAATAAATAAAGACTAAATTGCCCTCAGGGCCCCAACATAACTCAACTCAACATAAGGGTACAATAGGAAAATATAAAAAATAAAAATGCATAAACAATTAGAAAAATAAGCTCTGAATCATGGCCATCGATCGGTGATGCACATGTTTGGACTTTGGATCGATGTCCTCATCATAGCTCCTCTAAACTCTCTTATTTTTTATACTCATCTTGCGGATCTACCGTCTTCTGGCAACTTTTTTACTTGGTTTAATCAAAGGATTGACAACCCCATACATTTAAAGCTTGATCATGTGCTCATTAATGAATCTTGGATTTCTGGTTATCCTCACTCTTTTTATAAAATTTGTAATGTTTCTAACACACGCCGCTTATCCTCAAAGCAAATTTGGAGAGAACTACTAACAAAAGATTTATGTTAAAAAACTTCTGGTGCAAGATCCCGGAATTTTGGGATATTCTGATCATTGTTTTTTCCACCCCTTTTCAAGGTAACCCCATTAGCTCCCTACATAAGCTAAATCTCTTGAAGCAAGAAATCAAGTACAAGAGATGGGTTAACTCTAGTCATTTAGAGTCCAAATGTGCTGAACTCTCCTCTTTACAAACCCAATATCAAGTAAAAGTTGACTCTGATCCCCTCAATGTCAATCTTTGTGGACTCCTAAAGAAGATTAATTTGGATTATGCATACTACAACTCTTTGTGGGCTAATTGGATCATTCAAAGATCCAAAGTCAAGTGGATAAGAAATGGAGAGGAAGATCTTAAATTTCTTTTTTCAAGGTTCAAAGAAGAAAATCACAAAATTTGAGTATATTACGTTCTTCTTTTTGCAACAATGATCAGACTCAAGCTTCTAATATTTAAGGTATTGTTGATCATTTCAAGGAACTCTACAATTCACCTAAGCCTCCTTCTTTGGACTTGATTAATTTTCCTATTGGAAATTTGTTATATGATGAAGCTAAGCACTTCCTTATCATTCATGTTACTAATGCTGAGGTACAGGAGGCTATTTCTTCTGGGTGCCCCTCTTCTGCACCTGGACCTGATAGTTTTAATTTTTCTTTCTACAAGAATACTTGGTCTATTAATGGACCTACGGTTTGCAAAGCGGTCGGATCTTTCTTCACAAAATACTACCTTCCCAATAAAGCTAAAGCTACTACGATAGCTCTTATTCCAAAGAAAACACATGCTGATTCTATTCAAAATTATAGGCTCATTTCCTTAT